AGGAAGAAATTTTCCTGCACAGCTTCATAGGAATTTTAACATGGACTTGATCCATCTTAGACCTCCAAACTAACAGCGTGACATGAGCAATTTTCACAAACAAATAATAAAACTATATTTCAGTTAGCCTCCTTTTAAATAAATAACCGTTCTGGGTAAATTAGAATATTTATTAAATCGCGAGAATATTTTTTGACTTAAATGATGATTTTTTTATTAATGGAAATTAAGCTACTATATGAGGTACATTTGCTGGGATTACGCTGTCCTTCATGTTTTGCGTTAGTCTACATTTTGCTGTACGTACTTGTAATTTTAATCTTTAATCTGTGTGTACAACTTTTGCAGGTCTGGTTACGCCCCTGTTATGTGATGAAAGTCTTAATTTGGCAATTAGTTCCTTAGCTTATTTAAATAGAATTGCAGTGTAAAAATTTCAACAAGATGTTGGCGCAATAGCCCTTTACTCTTTGTGGATATTTTCCCCGTCAAAGTTTGTCTATTTGTCTAAAATCATCTTTCAATCTTTACTCTTTCAAGGACAGTATAAAGTTATCTGACATATTTTCGTGAAAACTTATTGACAAGCCAAGGGTCTCCAGTTCATTCCGTACTTAATTTTAGCCAAGCAAATTTTTTCTTCAGTAGATCTTTATAGCACGGTTTTATAATACAATTTTTCGAAGAGGGGATTTAAATCAATATATTTAAAAAACATTGTAGCTTCATACTTAAAAGAATTGGGTATCTCCCGCTTTTCATAATATACTAAGTTATATACAATAAACTAAGTTATCAGTAGTGCTCTTTTTTTACACCCAACATTCTTTTTAAAAAATCCGTTTGTGGCTTTCTTATATCCCTTACCAGGTTAAATCTCCATGCATAATTTAAAATATACTAACGTACGTAAAACTGCACATTTAGTAAACACATTAAATTAATGATTTTTCCATGCTACCAGTAGCAAACAATGCTCTTTTACCTTGATCTGCTACATGTTTTTGGGTTTGACAAAGCTTACAAATCTGCAAAAAGTTTTGCGTACAGACGCAGAACTTGCGTTTCAAGTTATAAAATGATAAACCTTTTAAATTATTTAATATTTCAGAAGAAATAACCTTCAGAAACAAATCCTCAAAGCATAACTGTATTAGGATTACGAACCATTTTATTACAGCAGTTCCCAGTTTTTCTTTAATATAACGCTCTTCTTCCTGTTTTTCCTCAACACGTTTTCTTCCAAGGAAGTAATGCCTGGGCATACGCATGCTTCAAGATACCCTGAGAGGAATTTCTGTTATTAATGTTCGCGACCGTGTTTGATCTTAATCGTTTAAATATTGATATTTTACGTCATTTACAAATACCAATAAAATAACCCCATGAAATAAATGAGATATATTGAAAAATATGAAAGCCCACCAAGACGAGTTTGATACCTGTTATTACCTGGCTTGGGAATTGCAACAGTGCATAATTAACAGGTTTTATTGTTAACGAGCTCTTGGTCAACTGCAATGCATTTAAAATGCATCAGCAATTAGCAAGCTTGCCAACTGATAAAAGACTAGCAGCTTTTGATATGATCTAAAACACCTGAGGTGACCGAGATCGCGAGCAGCGCAACTATTGTATTGTCTAGTAAGTAAGTCACGGAAGACCGTCACAGACAAAGAAAGATTGTCAAGGAGTGCTGCAATTTTGGTGAATCCCACGGCAACACAATGAGGCATAAGGAAAATTGCTCAATTCCGTTCAACACAACTTTCTTAAACTATTGTCTGTATGCACCATGCAGCTCAGTTAAGTCTCATAGACCTTTATCCTCATTGTCGTCACAGTACCACGTGACCCAGATCTGTTGCTTCATTTATGCATATTGAGGTGAGGTTTACTAAAACGCTTTTTTTTTCGACTAAAAGATTGTTTTTATAATTTTTTAATGGCGGGGATCGATTAAAACATACCTCTAGTGTATAGATTGAGTGCTGAATATTTAAAATTCGAGAAATGGATTTTTGTGGGTCTATTGTCCTTTAAGCCATTTTAACTTCTCATGCCCATACACACAAGTCAATATGTCTGCATTTAGTTAAATGTGATGTTTAGGCAGGTTGAAAAGTATTGCATCACCACTCAAAATTTGTTCGGGGTATGATACTGTGAAATGCGATCTGACACACCTTGAAAACGGGTAGTGTGGTCCGATCTACCGGTGAATTCAGGATCGTTCGGTGCCGAGTCTGGTAGTTGGGTAGGCCTGAGTCAGCAAGAGTCGGGCGGATCCAAAGATATCTTCTGACAGTCTTCCAAATTATCTTTGTTGGATCCTCCTCCACTGCCCCATCCCCACCCCTGCATGTGCTCACACACACCACACACACACACACATCTGCACATCCACAATACTGTGAAAGTTTGTCAAAATATCCCTACATATATATTCAAACACGTTTGGAATGACTAAAATGCATATTTATTGAAAAGAAAGTACTCCTTGTAGTCAAATGTATCCAGTGTTTTGGAAAATACGTAAGATGCTGGTTCGAACGGGGAGTTTATCCTAAACAACCAAAACATCCGACCAAACATCCCACCAAACATCCTTTCTACGACCACAGCGACCTTTTTGCCTCATTTGTGCGACAGGGAAACTGGTTGTAGAAAGGAAATGTTGCAGGCATCTCTTTGCAAGAGTGTATCCAGAATTATTTCATCGAAAAATTTTGGTAAATTAGAGGGCGAATGGTGCCATTTGGTACGGTTTAGAACTATTATTAAGCTTAGCCTAGTCAAAATTCTAATATCAAAAGGGGAGTATTGTGTGATTTTTTTTCAGAAAGCGAAGGAAAACCCCCTTGACACCCCCCTAAACCCGCCACTGCTAAGGCTGCAGTGTTTTGCCTGTACTGCGATCTCGCTAGCACAACATCCATGCGTTGTACTGTCTGTGCTTACGCACGGCGGGAAAGGTCTTAAAAAGTGTTAAGCCATTGATGTTGTGATTTTGTCATGTAAACCAATTAATTCTTATACGGCGTAGTATCCATTTTATATATAATGAAAAAAAAATTACCAATCAGATGAAATACAGAATATAATATTGAACGAACAACTTCAATAAATTGAAGAATTTCCACTATTAGTTTATTAATTTTCAAACTTTATTGAAATCAGTTTTTTATACTTATGGAGTACTACATTATATCGCAGATGAAAGCTCGTTAACACATTTCATAAAATTCCTTTCAATTTTAATTTGGCAGTTTTAATTGTGTAGTTTATTTTAAAACAACAGTTTTCATGCACGCTCATGTCAATATACAGCGACGGGCTACTTATCGCCCCGACACTTTTTTAATTTACCAGGCCACTAACATCATTATCTCGGCATTTTTTCTCTCCCTAGCTCATGAAAAATAAATAACAAAGGTTTTCCTTTTAAACCATTCGCTTTTTATTTAAATGATCAAAAAATATTCATTGGGTGTAAAAGAACATGAGTATGATTAAAGTAATATGTTCAGTACCGATTTCGTACGAGCAACAAAGAAAGGATTATGGAGCAACAAACAGCGACAACAACGCCAATTCATGTAAAGTCATTTTACATCATATCCAGTCAGAAAAAAATTACAACTGATTTTTAGTACAATTAAAAACACCTGTGAAAGAACCGGGGACTCTTTCACTTTGTTAAATCCATGTAGTCTCTCGGTTGAAATAAAGAACCCGACTTTTTGTAACGCGTTTAGTTCAAGCTTCCTACATCTTTTGATTGACAAGGTGCCAATCAAATTCAGTTAGTTTTGATAGTTGCTGTCAAGTAATAACAGCTTGATTGGCATATGATATGAACGAACGTCAATCATCGCGCACTGTGATTTCTATCGCTGTGAAACGGTAGAAAGAGAGCGTTAAAATCTGAAGTTAGGATAGTAATTAACTTGCAAAATATTTCAAGAGAATATATACAATCTGTTTCCAAAACTAGTTCTCTTTCTGAACCCTTCAGCGTGTCTAATACGACACTCTAAGAGTACAAACTATTTTGTAAAAAGAAGATTTTAGCAAAAGAAACCAATTTAAAAACAGATTCAAGTAAAGAAATATGACATTTGACTTTATTCTGGAGGTTGCGCAAGGGTTGTATCAAAATTAGTGCAACTATGTACCCCAGTATGTGCGTGGAAGAAGGAAGAATAAAAGTTTTTGCATTATGTGTGGAATATTATTAGATTCTTTTACTGTCAAAGTATATACTTTTTGAAAAAAAGGGAAAAATACCCCCAGGACCCCCCTGACCTCCCCCCTCTAAATCCGCCACTGCTTTGGTAGCAGAATGAATGTTCAATGATCGGCCGGTTGTCGGCACGTACAGCATTTTTTAAACTCTAAACGGGGCCATACGGCGAGACGCCGTCCAGTGTAAAGGGGACTTTAAAGGTATCAGTTTTTCGCGTTCAGTACATCCTGAACAAGGAACATAGTAACATTTTCATCTGTTTTTTAATCAAGGTCACGCATTACTACTCTGCTAATGACATCACTATCATTTCAGGTCCCCCTATCTGACTGTATATATTTCAAAAAAATTGTTGGCTTTATAGTATTTAAATATTAAAATATAGTTAAAAATCATTTAACATTGTGTCCTTTTTTTCTAATAAAGCTGGACTAGCTGTAAGCTGTAGACCCCTCCATCTTTTAAATCAAATTTAGCTTTAGCAGTGAACGGTTATTTCTCTCTTGCCTACACCTTGTCAAAAATTCCCACCCTCCCACCCTGTAGTAGCTTGTTGATTTAGTCTTCTGCTACCATGTATAAGAATAATGTTTTGGCTTGCTGATTATTACTTGTAGATTACAATTCCATCCCACTGATGGGAATTTGTATATTTAATTCACTGTTTGCCTAATTGGTACTTTTTAAAGTTTGTAAAATTATCATTGCTTGTAGTCATTTACCAGTTAACTTTTCTAAGGCAACCTCTGTGTTGATGTTTAATTGTTTATAATTACCTTAATGTAGTTGTTGGCAATGACCATTTTTTACAAAAATGTTTCATTTCTCAAACCCCTCTCAAACCCTCACAATAGTAGAAATTAAAACTGAGATAATGAAACACAATGCACTGAAAGATAGACACAGGTGACAGTTATATGTTTAAACACTGTATCTGTCCTTTAAAGATTAACCTCATCACCATACAAAACTACATTTATTTTTGGAAAAAAAATTAAATGAATACATATTTTTCGTTTCAAAAAACCAAAAAACCCTAAATTAAACAGCCTGGAGAGAAAAAAATAGAATAGATAGATAGATAGATAAAGAAAACTACTGTTTCAGTGGATGGTAGGAATTTTGTATTTTAATATTTAAAAATATCATGACAGGACTTTGTATAGGTGTCAACTATCCTGTGACTGAAGTTTGTTATTAATTTTATCTATCAAAGTTTGTAGATGGATGTTTAACTGCTCCTCCTGACCATTATTGTCAATGATCATATGCCAGGTAATGCCACTGTCCAAGTCACATTCCGACTCTGCATCATCTACCCCTAGAAAAAAGACATGAAATTTACTTACTGGTAAAGTAATATGAAAGACGGTTCCTTTCATGTATGATTTTCTATTTTCAATGTAAATGAAATTGTGTAAGTGAAGTATATTTATAGTAAACATGGTTTCTTTAAAAAAATTGGAGCTAGAGACAAAAGCCATTTTTTTCTTCATTTTTAAATGTCAAGTTTTGCCAACTGAACCAGTGTCTGTGTTTTCATTATCAATTCTGACATTACCTGACGTAAACTTCCATCCCCTGTCCATTCTCACACTTTCCTTGGCTTGTACACGAATGAGCAGAGTTTGTTCTTTGTAAAAACTATTAAAATATTCAATGTCTGTTTTTCTCCTGGCATCAGATATAATCCATACTGGTTTCAAAGCAGACATGCCCTCTGTTGCTAGCCTGCAAAAGTAACTAGGATCTTTTTGGCGTCTTTCTTCGCCCCATTTAATCATGTCTGCTCTGTAGTGCTCCTTGTATGAGGTGGCATCTAAAAGTCTATCTGCATCTAGACGGTGTTCCTAATAAAAGATGATAAAATAAACATGTATATGTGCAATTAATCCTTGAAGATGGACCCCTCACAGAAATTACTTCAATTTCTCATATTGTGAATATTATGATCTGAACAAGATGGCTGCAGGCAAATAAATACCCCAAAAATTAAATTAATTAATTGAATAATGAAAACATTGCAACAATAACAACAAAAAATAAATAAATAAATGAAAATTGAAAAATGTTAAATTCAAAGAAACAGATTCAATGAGAACTAGGCAAGGTAGTTAGCAGAATATCTTTAAAATTTCTGACAGAAACTTAAAAAATGATCACCTATACAATAGTTAGGGTCTGCGTAATTGTAAATGTTTTTCACAATTCCCATAGCTTTTAGGCTTTCTGACCAGCCATTAAGACACACTAATGTGTCAACACAATTTGTAATGTTTTTAGTTGTCATCAAATTAAAGTCCATTTAACACTGCCAATACTCTGCATGAGTAAACCATGCACAAACTTCCATAAAACTTATATACTGCTTATACACTTTTAAAGGGTACAAGTACTATCGTTATACTTTAAAAATGACTGAACAGCAGTTCAAATCAAATTCAAACAATATAGGATTATATGGGCTACAATGCCAAGTAGCTATTTAATTCATTTTCTATGTACACTTACCTTAGCATACTGACTTTTCAGCGGCCCTGACAAACGCATAATGCTACATACTTCAAATCCTAGTCTGTAAACAAAAATTAAATCAAAAATTAATTGTATTATCTACTGCAAAATAGTTTAATTTCAAAGCCTGTACAGACAATGTGTATATGTGTGACCTCTTTCATTGAGGCATGACGTTTGCCTCAGTGCTGCCAATATAGTGACTTCAACTGTCTTATCTCTAATCACTCATATATTTATGTGTCTGTTCATAAAAAGACCTCAAATCTCTTTTAGGGAAAATTTGTAATTAAAGTTATTTTATGTATAAAACTATTTTAATACATATTAACATATCTTTTATATGTATCCTTACAACCAATGTCTAAATGTTATGTTATGTCTGTGTTTTCACAATGTAAAACAATATATAGTCCACTGAAAATTTAATGATTTAGACTTCAGTATCATTATCATCATTATAAAAAGAAAAAGATTGAAAATAGTGAAACTCAAAACTAATTTATTTGAATCAAAGTCTCAATATAACTTCATATTGATAATCATTAGAATATTTAAAATAGTTTAAAGGGGGTGATTCATTGTACTGTAAAAATACACGAATAAATGAAAAGTATACCTCAGCTCAAAATATTTGGATGGGCCTTCAGAGATGTACACGAAGACATCTCGTTTTATATGACTGGCCAGTTTACTGAAAAATTACTGAACTAAGTAAAATTTGGAATAAACATTGAATCAAGTGCAGGGACGCAATGCTTCGTGAGTAGAAGAATGCAACCCCTCCCCCTTTCCGAGGAAAACTCATTTGGAGGGTAAACCTCGTAGTACATGTACCTTTAATCAAGGAGTTATAACAGTTATAACTCCTTGCTTTAATCATAGAAGTAGAGAAAAGTTCTATGCTTTAATTTAGAAAATATATTGAAAATGGAACACTTATATGGTGGGGGGGATAGTTCAAAAGTGTCGAGAATTTCTGTATTGTACCTTTTCTGTATGATTTCCGTAATAAAATCTTTTCCAGACTTTCTTTTTCCGCTAAAAACTAGCACCACAGCAGGGGTAATCCTAGAGACCACAGACGGACGGTCAGACATTTTTAAATGGTACGCATCATGGGAGAAGTTTGAGCACCGTAAGTAGTAAAATAAATATTGCCCATTTTTAATACATAGAGAGTCTTCAAGAAAATGTATCAAACTGAATATTGTACATCTTTATTTACTCTTTCGACAAATATATTTATATATAGCACAAACAGTGATGCTTTATCCTTGGTAAGACAACCATTCGGATCTCAGAATAAGGTGAAGGTCATCTAAAGCGTGGACGACTTGTGATGGTACAAGTCCACATCACGGGAGTAAAGAGCAATCTTATTAAGGTTTGATAGTTAACAAATACAAGAATTTGTTGAGATTACTTTATGTACTTACTTCACATTGCTTACCTGTTTTTCTGGCATAATCGTAAGCGTAATTTATGCCGTTTGATTACATCCAAATTTTGCTAGTTTTCGTTTATTATAACATTACCAGATATATATGTTTATATTTTTACCTTAATCCATTCTTCTCTGACTTGTGGACACCTGCATTATGTAAAGTATCAACATTAACATTTCCTTTTCATTACAGTATGAATGACACCAAGGAAGGAGACGAAAAGGTTTTTATGGATAATCTAACGTCTGTAAAAGAAGGGAAAGCAGAAGCCTTTTATCCCAAAGCTGTGTTCTATAACCCTGTTCAGGAGTTTAATAGAGACCTAACAGTTGCAGTCATCTCTGAGTTTTCACAGGAATACATTGCAAAGAAAATAGAACAAGCCAAGAGAAAGGGTGCTAAAGAAGCATCAGAACAGGCTGTTAAAAGAGAACATACGGCATCAAAAGTAGAAACACCTGCAGCTGATATCTCAGAAGACACAGAAACTACTGGCCTTAAGATTCTAGAAGCGCTGTCAGCTTCAGGTTTACGTTCTATGCGTTTTGCTTTAGAAATCCCTGAAGTAAAAGAAATAGTAACAAATGATTACAGTGAAGCTGCTGTGGAAATAATAAAACACAATGCACAACACAATAAGGTGCAGCATTTAATTTCTCCAAGTTGTGCAGATGCAGCCCTCCTCATGTACCAGCACAGAAGCAAGAAGGACCGATTTGATGTTGTTGACTTAGATCCCTATGGCAGCCCATCTCCATTTCTTGATGCAGCAGTGCAAGCTGTAACCGATGGGGGTTTACTCTGTGTAACCAGCACTGATACTGCTGTGCTGTGTGGCAATAGTCCTGAAAACTGCTATGCTAAGTATGGCTCCATGCCCCTCCGAGGCTCTTTCTGTCATGAGATGGCACTGAGAATTGTGTTGCAAAGCATCCAGTCCCATGCTAGTAGATATTCCAGATATATTATACCCCTACTGGCAGTAAGTGTAGATTTTTATGTCCGAATATTTGTCCTTGTTTACACAGGAGCACAAAAAATGAAGCGATCTGCAGCCAATATGGGAATGGTGTATTTGTGCACTGGTTGTGAGACTTACAGCATACAGAATTTGTGCAAAGAGATACCTACCAAGGGGAATAATTTCAAGTACTGCGTAGCCACAGGTCCTTCTGTAGAGGAACATTGTGTGCACTGTGGACATAGACATCACATTGGAGGTCCTGTCTGGACAGCTCCCATACATGATGTGGAGTTTGTAAACAGAATACTGAAAAGGATACAGGGGAATCCAGATGCCCTAAATACCTCACAAAGAATAATAGGTAATTACATTGAAGATGGACTTTTTAAGGCATTATTCAATATCAAGGGGGGGACGAGTATGTGGATAATTTAGGATTTTTGTCTTTTTAATTTTACACACAGTACACTTGAAATAACATGTGAAAAGAGTTACTACATATCTTGGATTTTTTCATCCCAAATGTTTTTGTTGAATTTTCATGGCTCTCTCATGTAGGATAATGCCAGTGTTACATGAACTGTTGAATTCAGTTGATTGCAAGTGATTACATATGATGACATGTTAATGTGTATTGATTCTTGGTCAGAAAACCACCAGAGATCTGGAGCATTTACTTCTTGTGGGCTGGCCGTACCCCTTTTTGAGGTCAAAAGTCCTGAACACTTAAAAATAATATGCCTTCCATTTTGCCTTTATGCCATTGAAGCTTTTAGTTTTAGTTATAGTTTATTTTTCCAGGTATTCTCAGTGTTATATCTGAAGAACTCCAAGATTCACCATTACACTTTACTCTTGATCGACTAAGTACAGTGGTACGGACAGTAACACCCTCGCTGGTGCAATTGCGGTAATTGTATTAAGTTTTAAATATCATTGTAAGAGTAGAAAACTAGGCTGCACTGTGCTCTTATCTGTGTGCAGTCAAAGTATACAGGAACAGGACATGGAGAACAACATTGCCTGCTGTTTTACTTGAAATAGAGAAAATAATTACTGATTTTTTCCTCTATTTTGCAAACTTCAGCTTTAACTTGCAACTCATGGCTCACTTATGCTTTAAAAAAGTCTGCTGAGAGCATGCTTGTAAAGAACTAAGTAATGTATTTTGTTGTATATTTTCATTTCGTGTTTTATTTTTTTCAGATCGGCCATATTGCATGCTGGGTATGATGTGACATTTTCACATACATGTCAGGGTTCCTTGAAAACAAAAGCACCGAGTCAGGTAATATGGGTAAGAGAAAGATTTTTATTGTTTCTCTCATTTTCTTATCAGTCTGAGACTTCAATTGTCATTTGACAATGTCCAGCTATGATGTGTAGCTGCAATTGTTTATTGAGAAGATTGATAAAAAAATGCATATACAGAATGTTGGTGCACACTGAAATTAATTAGTACCACCAGTGTGTCTGCTGGCAGTACTCATGGTTTTAGTCCCTACTTGTCTCGCACAGGTCCGCCGGCTCCATAGGATGGCATGGGATAAAAGTTGCCACTTCTCCTCCTAGACCACAAGGACCTGTGTCATCATCTCTTGGATTTAGGTCACATATAATCTCAACTTGAATACCCTGTATTTTTTTTTTTTTTTTTTTTGTCTCAGTCGGTACATTCGCCTGGGCATGACACTCCTTGAAACGCACCCTTGTCAAATTTTTTGAAAATTCAATGTTAAATATCTCCCAAACTGAAGGAATTATGGGAAAAATTACTATAGAAGTCTGACCGAAAGTCATGTGGAGATTCTAAATATGCCCCTGGATTTGACCTTTATTTCAAGGTCAAACGGGCCAAAATTTGATAAAAATGGGAATTTTTTGCAAAAACATTTATATTTGTGCCGATTTTCAGAAACTACACATACCTAAGCATGTACACATACCTAAGCATACCTAATGGTAATCATACTGTGACCTGAAATTGACCTTTGACCTTCTTTTCACCACAAACTGAACTTTACAAATTTTCAGTCCCTTATATCTCCAAAACTGATGGAGGTACGCCCATAATTACTATCGAACTTGAATAGGCATATATATATATACTGGCAATCCAACTGTGACCTTGACATTGACATGTGGCCTCCTTTTTGTTATGAACCGCACTTCACAAATCTGGATTTGACCATTTACTTTTCACCATGATTTTGTTATAAACTGTAATTTTCAACAAAAACAAAATGAGAAATCTTGTTTACTGTATTTTGAAGAGCTTGTCAAGCACAACATTGGAGGTGGTATCCCTTTTTTTTTTTTGTCCTTACTAATGCCCTTACTCCAACAGGTGGCACAATACCCGGCGGCGTTATTGCCTCTGTGATCTTCAAGTAGCAATCAAGATTGTTATTGGCAAACCTCTCCTGACCCAAGGTTTCTTGGTTTGATTAAACAGATGCCTGTAAGCTTGAGCGGAAAACAACTGTGCATGGCATCAGAATTTTTAAAACTTACACAGGTCTATTTTGAGTTTTGACGAATTTTTCAGTTACACTTTTCGTGCACTTTCATTGTTATATGAATTACTTGACTCTGTTTTACCTTTTGTCTTTAAACTTAAGGAAGTGGTGAATATTCATAAGATATAGGTCAAGTTAAAAAATCAGCCTGATCGTACCTTTCTTTCAAAAGTTTTTTTTCTTTTTTAATTGCATTTTGCAGCATTTTTTATCAACTGTTATGCAAATAAAATGAAAACCATTTTACCTTTTGTCTGCAAACTTAGGGAACTGATGAATATTCATAAAATATAAGTTAAGTTTGAAAATTGGCCTGATCAGACCATTTTTTCATAAGTTGTGTTTTTTTTTTCTTTTTTCAGCATATTTTATCCACCATTATAAAAAAAAATGAAAACAGTTTTACCTATTGTCTTCAAACTTACAGAACTGATGAATATTTTTGAAATACATTTCAACTTTGAAAATGAGCCTGATCAGATCGTTTTTCCAAAAGTTATGCTGTTTTTCTTTCCTTTTTGTTTTGGCATATTTTATCCACATTTTCTAGATATCTATGTTATCTGTAGTGCATAATTTAAAACTGATGGTGATTATAAGCTGTTTATTATTATGTAACATTGCATCAAAATTGATAAAAAATATTTTGTACAGTGCTACTGAAAATGCTCTAAAAGGAAAACTTCCCATGTTGTAACTTGCAAGAATGATTGAAATACAGCTCAAATTGGCAAACCAGCTTGACTGGATTTTCTTTCTTGTTGTCTGTACATTTGAGAGCTTTGCTGCCTTGTTTATCTGGTTAATTTTCTTTTCAGGACATTATGAGGTGTTGGGCAAAACAGAACCCTCCTAAAGATGGCAAACTTACAAAGGGATCTGCTGGTAAAGCCATTCTAAATAAAGCACCCCAGTTGGTGGCCAATTTTGAACTTCATCCCAAAGCCAACCCTAAGTCCAGAAAAGAAGGTCTGGTTCGTTTTCAGCAAAATCCTGAACCTAACTGGGGCCCCAAACCTATTGCAAAACCCCAAAACGATGAGGATGATGTAACCCCCCTAGAGAAAAGTCGAAGATTGCAAGGAAAGAGGAAAAGAAGGAGAGTGCAGGTAAAAGCAGCCTGTGTGTGTGTAGTCGTTATTAAGGTACTTCTACCTTCAAGGTTTTATGGAATGCATTTCTCTCAGTTGAAAAAAGAGATTTATGTAATATTTCCTTGTAATTCCCAATAAATAAAGCATTCATTATATTCGAGTTGCAAATGTTTTGTTTGCACATTTTGATTTGCTTGGATACTTTTGTGGAGAGACATTACAGGCCTTATAAATGGATTAAGCATTTACTAACACCACCTGCAGATCATTTAGCACAATCATCCATATTAATCACTTAACCCACAAATTAACCAGCACTACCAATGTGAGTGAATGTTAGGTATTGCTTTGTTGGTGCTAAATAATTGTTCGGTGTAATCCGTTTACAAGGCCTGCATTACCTATGTCTTTCTGCATCATCACAATGCACTATTCACTGTTTACAACATAAATTATGTATAACCATTTTGTTCAGAAAATCTTTCTTTCCCAGAAATGAAATAGATTTCCCTGATGTTAAAATCATAAAAATTTATTTCCCTGATTTTGAAATAGGTTATTTTTATGATGATGATAATAAATTATCAAGGAAAGATACAATATGACTCAAGGCTAGAAATTAACTTTAATAGTTAGAAGCAAATCCTACTTAAAAGTTGAAAGTTTCAATGAATATTATTAAGGTCCTATCGGTCTATGTAGATCAATCCAACTGCAGGGACTCTTGCTGAGTGCAAACTGCTTAACTGAGTGACACGCCACCAGCTAGCTTTCAAGTAGAATACATTAAAAGAGGTTATGGATGATAAACATTTATGCTTGTAGTAGTGAGCTTAGTAATTCAATTCCAGTTATCTTGTTATGTTGGTAAAATTGTGTCTTTCACCATTGTAGGAAGTGAAAGTGATTGACTACAAGAAGTTTCCCTGTAAGAAGAACCAAGAGGGGTTGTGCACACTTGGTGAGGATTGTAAATATTCCCACGATAAAGACAAGGTGGCTCGGCAGGAGGAACACATGGAGGTGGTTCAAGGTTGTTTCAGTGAGGATGCAAGCAAATAAAATAAGAATGATAACTATGCAATTTTTCTTGTTCAAGTTGCTGTCTAACCACAAATAAATACTAGTCATTGGTATAATTGAGCAGAATTAGCACTGATGATATTGTTAACTTGCTATTTGGAGAAAAGTGGAATGCATATAGATGTAATTAGGCCTCTATAATTTATAAATAAATTAATATAAAATTTGTAATAACATGTACAGTTGACTATACAAAATTTCCCAAAGTATATGTACAATTAATAGATGGAAACAAGTTGTATACTTTGACTACAAAAATGGGTATCAAGACAAAATAATTCAAGTAAAAATCTAATATTTCAGTATATAATTTAGGATGTTTAGATTTTGAACAAAGAATGATATAAATAAAACATCTTTAAACGAGTATTTTTAGCTCAATTCTTTTTCTTTTAAATGAATACACAGATTATTCCACTCCACCAGTGCAGCTGTACAAAATGCTGTCACCATGTTTTTAACCTAACTTTGGGAGTGTCATTAACTTTGTCACCAAAAGTCGAGTTCATTAAGGATTAAGATTAACAAAAAAAAAACATTGCCATTTGGTATAGTTTAGAACTATGAATCTTTTTTTTCCAGAAACTGTTAAGATGGGGGGGGGGGGGGGGGGGG